CAATTATCATTTACAACAGCCAACCACAAATTGAAATACTTAGGAATGAACCTAACTAGAGATACAAAAGACCTATACAAAGAAAATGACAGAACATTTCTGCAAGACACAGAAGGCATAAAGAAATGGAAAAATGTGCCCTATTCATGGACGGGAAGACTCAATATTAGGAAAATAACAATCCTACCAAAAGCAATCAACATATTCAATGCAATCCCAATACAGATACCAAATTAATTTTCCAAGTAGATCAAAAGGGAAATCTTTAAGTTTATTTGAATCAGAAAGAAACCCAAAATAAGCAAAACACTTTTGAGAAACAAAAATGAAGTGGAAGGCATAGGACTCCCTGACCTTAAAACATACTGCACGTCAATAGTAACCAAGAAACATGGTACTGGTGCAATGACAGGCACATAGACCACTGGAACAGAACTAAGAACCCAGAAATAGACCCAATTATCTATGGTCAACTGATACGACAAGAAAATAAATCCTATTAAATGGGGAAAATGATAACCTCTTCAACAAATGGAGTTGGCAAAACTGGACTGCTACCTGTAGAAAGCTGAAACAGGATCCACATCTCACACTACACACAAAAATCAACTCAAGGTGGATCAGAGGCTTGGGAGTTCATTAAGACACAAACGGGGATCAAGCTTAGAAGCTCTAGTCTATGGTATAAAGAGATTGCCAAATACAGCCAGAAATGCACAATCTGAAGAGGATAAAAATTGATGAATGGGACCTTCTAAAGATTAAATCCCTGTGTACATCAAAAACTTTCCCCAGCAGGGTGAAAAGAAAACCTACTGTGAACACCATCATCTCAGACAAGAGTCTCAACAAAAATTTATAGAATACTCCTGGGCCTCTACAAGAAAAAGACTGATAAGCCAATTGCAAAATGGGCAAAAATCATGCAAAGAATTTTCAGAGGAAGATATTCAAATGGTCAACATACATATGAAGAAATGTTCCAAATCACTGGCAATCAGAGATGCAAATCAAAACTATGAGATACCATCTCACTCCAGTAACAGTGGCAAAGTTTAACAGGACAGCAAGTAATAAATAGTGGAGAGGATGTGGTGAGATAGGAACCCTTTTACAGTACTGGTGGGACTGCACAATACACAACTCTGGAAGGCAGTTTGGCACTTCCTCAAAAAGCTGAACATAGAAATTCCATATTCCAGTTATTTTATTGTTTGGAATATATCCTAAGAAAATGGGAAAGGAGGCTCAAATGGAAACTTGTGCACCAATGTTCATAGCAATATTATTCACCATTGTAAGAACATGGAAACAGCCCAGATGTCCAAACACAAACAAAATAGATTGAGAAGTTGTGGTACATTCATTCAATGCAATACTATGCAGCACGCAGGAGCAATGATTTTGTAAATTACTGCCTAAGTAGGGAGGGACTGGAGAGCATTATGCTGAGTGAAAGAACTCAGTCCCATAAGGACAAATACTATATAAAAACATGATTGTAGAATC